CGCTCCCCTCATCACACTTCGGCCAGTGGCGATGCACTTCTAAGGGAATCGACGCGCACACGTTACAATACACTCACCAGCTCCACCACAGCACCAGGTGAAACGGGGATACCCCTTGAGTCCCTTCCGGGTGGTATGTAACCGCCACTGAGCGGTATCAGTGCTCCTTCGCTATCACGGATTAGCCACTGCTGAATGTTATCCAAGGTAAGATAAAGAAGGTCCCCAACGATCCGCGTTCTGACGACATTCTCTGCGATGAGTCTCCGAGCTCCCACCGCATGCACCACTGCATGCAAGCGCGCACGCGGCACGGCCAATATTGAGATGAACGAAAGCGCAGGGGAAGCATTGATTACTTCAGCATATCCGTGCGCAAGGGCACCGTCATATTGATATGCGCGCGTATGTATTAGGGCCTGTTTCCAGTGCGGATTAAGGGACGGTATTAGCTTTAAATCCGGCGCTGATCCCCGCCATGGAAACTCTGTGGGATTAAGCTGAATCAGCGTAGGAGGGATTAGGAGCTGCGTAAGTCTTAATACATGCACATACAACAGCATGCATGTGCACCACCGGAAAACTCAGGGTTCTTTTAAATAACGCACGTCAAACTACATCAAACTGTTCATTTGCCATGCTGGGCGCTTTCGTTTGCTTCGTCGATCCCTCCAACTCGTCGGCATTTGCGTATTCGCAGCTACAGAAGGAACACCAGCATGCAGGCGCACATGGAAGAAATGACAGTTACAGCTCATTACATATAGCTTTTTGATTTGCGCTCCTGTGCCAAAAAATAGTCAGTTGCTAGCAGGGAGCACGCATGCTGCTGCTGCCCGCTAAGTAATGAGACCCCGCATCCCGTTGTCAGCTTGCAGGAGTTTTCACCATTATAATAATACAATGCCCCACCCAAAACATTCACCGACGAGGATCATGCTCAGCTTCCGTAACACTGCTGCCCGCCGCCCTGCCATACTACTTACCTTCCATAGCACCAGCGAGAGATAGTATGAGAAGCAGGTTGAGCATCATCCTTTATTTTTTAGAGATCGACAAATAAACTTTGTGTGGTTGTTAAAATTAAACTATTGCTTTAGATGCTAGGTCCGGTGGGTTCGCAGCTGCAGTTATACATGAGACCAGTATTTGTCCAGCACATTCCATGTTATTGCTAAACAGTAGAACTTAGTGCCGGTGTAACCTTAAATCGTACCAACAACAAGTTCGCGGTAGCCGTACAGATTTGGAGCTTTCCGATTTTAGGGTTACGACGACTCTGTGGATTCCTGGCATTGAAACGTTTTAAAAGATATATTAGTGCACGCTCGGTCTTCAATGATGCATCTAAATTAAACACCGCATGCGCTACCCAGCAAAACATTTAGCTTCGCAAGGCAGTGAAGAGCACAAAGCTTAAGATGAGGTTTCTCCAAGCCAGTTTACAGAATTACGCGTGGCCCATACGTATGAGTCAGGGACAATGGCATTTCCGTCGAAAACATGACGGCATGGAAGGTGTCCAACAGGTAGCAGCTTCCTGTTGAGATACTGCCTCGAAGCTCCTGTTTAGAGAGTAAGCGGGTCTAAGCGAGTTTAAGGTTTATTTCCTGGTCTCCTCGGTAATCGGCATACGGAAAAGGTTGGCGCATAAGCGGCATTTTCTTTTAATGTTTAGCGTTTGATTTGCTAGTTAGTAAAAAGAGTATACAAGCAACTGGGCTTTTCCCAGCCCTACCAGCAACATTCAAACAGCTCAGCGGGCTTCGGCGGGCGAGGCAGCTACTAGGCTACCTCCCAAGGCACCGCCATATCTTTGCTTGCAGGTATCCATCAGGCCACCGAAACATTGCAATGCATCCCGGCTTTCGGTCTGTCCCGCTCCTCTGAGCTGCTTTCCGAGCAAAGCGGCAACTGTGTCAGACAGCCTGTAAGCGCCGCTATTCATTGGAGAGCTTGTGATATCGTGTATCATAGCATGTTCCATTAATTGTATTTATGCAGGATTCGTGAAATGAAATTGTGCTTAAATTTGTTGGAACCCGCGAAACGTGTCTGTAGCCTTCCTTACCCTCTTTTGGCTGAACCGTCGTTTCCAGGACGCGCTCTCCATGGAAATGTAGAGCTGTGAAAGGCTAGGTGGATCGGATGCAATAGTGATTGCCAGAGCGTTACAAAAGCAACTAACGGCTCAGCTCAGCTACAACTCACTACTCTACAAGCATACCAGACCAAAGATAAACGCTCACTCATTCCTATTTATTGTCGAGTTCGACAGTCGATCAGCGAGTATGGAGGGTGGCTCCACTCTATCCAAAAACCAACTATCACGCAAGCACCAGGCGACAGACTGACCGGACATCATTTTCCTCAACACTCCCACGCGGGCAGTCTGCAAGCCTGTTCGACTATCACACTCCCATAGCCAAACGAAATCGCTTAAACATTGCATGACTCAACGGTTTCGTGATGCAATCAGCGACCATATCGGCTGTACCACAATAACGAAAACAAATTTGTTTTCGGTTTAAACCTCGCTCCCCATCTTGTGGACGGTGTAGGACGTGCTAATATCAACTTGCGAGCTGACCAGGAACTAAGATGAGGCGCCGTTAATCCGCCAGATTTGGTTGGATGCTGGTGGTGAGATGCTGAACCCAACGAATACACTCAGAAATTGGATGGTGTGCATGGATTAGGGTGCCCCTCTCGCAGAGGAGAGCAGGGAAATGCCTCGGGATAGGGGGCCGCTGGTGAAGCTTAACCACCCTGTAACAATATACATTCACACATACATTCATACACACAGCGGTATCTGCTGACACCGTCCAGATTCCCCATCACCCATTCCCTGATCCTCAAGGTTTACACACCACAGACCCACCTCGCAGTCATCCTCCTTGCCGTGGCTGTGCTTGTGATCGTGGTCATGCTTCTCCTGATCCCGGTTCTTCTCTGCCTCCTCCAGCACCTGCATGATGGGTTAACAACCCCAAGTGTTAAAAGTGCACCGGCCCGCAGCGGCAGTGCATAGATCGACATCAACGAGTTGCTGCGCGACGGCAAGCTCATGGATGCCAACGACCCGTCCCAATGGTACGGCAACCAACACCACGTGTGCCGCAATGCACAGCTAAGATGTGCTCTAGCCTAGACCACACACGAACAGAAGGGCCTGCACGGCGGGGGAAGAGCTGCCATGAAATGCTAAAGCAACACCGCAAAGCCTTTTGAAGTGCAAACACAAAGTAATGAATACACCATGCAAATGACTGGCAGGCTGCGCTGCTTTGGGGTTTGAATAAGACACGCTGGTTGCCCAACGCGCACCCAACACAGAAGACACCGCATCAAGGGTACGGAGTCCCGTCTTGCTAGCTGTGCCAGCATCGAGTGGGGCGCTTAAAACACTGTTTTTGTTAATTTGCCATTGTGGGCAAACCCTGTGCTTCCAGAAAAAAGGTTGAATGTCCAGTTAGATAACATCCGCCCGGGACTAGAATTTCGACATCAAGCCCTCCTGGGCTGTAAAGCATTGCATACGTTGGGGGATGTTCTTTGCGCGCGCGAGGCCTTGGATGGAGTTATGAATACAACGGACCAAGCAGGCCTAGCAATACGCAAGGCTTGGCATCAAATAGTGGATCAATACCTCCAACCGCAAACCCCACTAGCTAAATCCCTGTGCACCTATCGTAAATGGCAGGAATGTATGGATGCTATTGGCGCTCTTCTAGATGATATTCCAGCGAATTGGAGACAGGCGGCTAGTCTTTTGTTGCCGCTGAGTGTAGAATCTAGGGAAGCGATGGTGCCCCCTATTGAGTCGGTTAGCCAAACCCTAGTGTCGAGGCTTGGTTGGAGATGGGGTGTAGGGCCTCCAATCCGATTCCAACATTTATCCGTTAAAATAGCGACTAATATGCAACTTGCACCTTTTTCGATGGCTCGCCGTGTGGCCCATACCCTTTTCATCAAAGAGGCGACGGGTTCTTCTGAGATATTGGATGAAGCTATTCTTCTTTTGCAACGGACATTCCATCGTTTATGGTTTCATTCCCTACAAACGCGGAGGGGGGTTAAGAAACTTAGGAGAATGCTTAAGAACGATAAGAATGTCTGAAGAACACGGAGGCGTCGGGTGTGCATTCTTAAACATTCTTACACTGGGATTAAGCGGTTTTATGTAAGTATGTCATATAAGTATGCATCAGCCATGAAAACATTCTGTAATGAATGCCTGATGGAGCTCTTATAGTTCCAGGATAGGTAATATATCACAGTGATTGTGAAACAGTGAACATACCATGAAATTTCATGAAAATCATGATTTTCATCCTGGAATTATAAGAGCTGTTGATGATCATCAACATGTGTCTAGGTCTAGACCTTAGATCTAATAATGCGAGATCGAACAGGTTTAGACCTGTTAGATGGATTAGCGAGTTCATAGATATCTATGGCTACATCGATGGCTACACCGACGTAGCCAATAATTAAATCCCCTATCAATCACCATGAATATCTAGTGGGCCGCACTGCATATACATCAGTGTACACTGATGGAGGGTGTCAAATTGGCGGCCCATCCTTGCATTCTTGGGGAGTCTTGGCAGCTGCAGGATGCAAGAACATGCATCCAGTCAGTTGGATACATCCTACACCCCTTTTCCATATCCTCAAGCCAATGCTTGCAAACATCCCACACCCTGCTGACTGCATCCCCTCATCCTCTGCCATCCTCATCCTTGGTGGGTTGGTGTTGACTCTTCCTGGGTCCACATTTCTATCCTTCTCCTTCCTATCCGTATCATGTGCTCGACCCTCCACTGCATCCTGACTGAGCATTCTGCCACCAAGGGGATAATAATAATTAGCCAGGTGCAGCTGTCAATGAAGGTTTTGGTAAATTCGGTCTCCGGCACCCAAGGGACACCCAAGGGACACCCAAAAGACAGGGAAGCGACACCAAAGGGACATGGAAGGGACACCAAAGGGACATGGAAGAGACACCAACGGGACATGGAAGGGACACCCAATTGGGTGTCCCTTGCAAGGGACACCAAAGGGACACCCAAGGAACGCCCAAGGGGCACCCAAGGGACACCCAAGGGGCACGGGAGGGATACCCAAGGGGCACGGGAGGGATACCCAAGGGGCACGGGAGGGATACCCAAGGGCACCAAAGGGACACGCGGAAGAGACACGCGGAAGCGACACCCAAGGGACACCCAAAAGACAGGGCAGAGACACCAAAGGGACATGGAAGAGACACCAGAGGGACACCAAAGGACACGTGGAAGGGACACCCAAGGGACACCCAAGGGACATGGGAGGTACACTGTAAGGGATAAGCTTCCTCCCCTTTGGGGAGAACCTTCGGTGTCAAAGGCCGTAGGGGTAGCACCGGAGGATACCCTCCTGTACCACCCTGCCACCGGAGGGTACCCTCCTGTACCACCTAGCCACCGGAGGATACCCTCCTGTACCAACCTGCCACCCGAGGGTACCCTCCTGTTCCACCTTGCCACCGGAGGATACCCTCCTGTACCAGCCTGCCACCGGAGGATACCCTCCTGTACCAGCCTGCCACCGGAGGATACCCTCCTGTACCAGCCTGCCACCGGAGGATACCCTCCTGTACCAGCCTGCCACCGGAGGATACCCTCCTGTACCACCCTGCCACCGGAGGATACCCTCCTGTACCACCTTGCCACCGGAGGATACCCTCCTGTACCAACCTGCCACTGGAGGATACCCTCCTGTACCACCTTGCCACCGGAGGGTACCCTCCTGTACCACCTTGCCACCGGAGGATACCCTCCTGTACCAGCCTGCCACCGGAGGATACCCTCCTGTACCACCTTGCCACCGGATGATACCCTCCTGTACCACCCTGCCACCGGAGGATACCCTCCTGTACATTTTGCCACCGGAGGATACCCTCCTGTACCACCTTGCCACCGGAGGATACCCTCCTGTACCACCTTGCCACCGGAGGATACCCTCCTGTACCACCTTGCCACCGGAGGGTACCCCCCTGTACCACCTTGCCACCGGAGGATACACCGACAGTATCCTAGCACGGCAAGAACGTAGTAGGGAATCTCCGGCAAGTAGGCCGAGAGGTAAGCTACCTGGGCGGGGTGCTATGGTGAGGCACTTAAGCATCACGACTACTTGGTATTCAGAGTTCAAGACTCCGCTGCCACCGTCTCAGATTGTTTCGTACGGGTCTATGTATGCTACTGCTTGTCGCTGGGTTGGACTTCTTCCTCCTCAGCGAGGACTCTAAATTCCACGCTTCCGCAAAGCCAGTCGTCCGCGTCCAGGTGAGCGACTGCTACAGTTTCAGTAGCCCCAAACTCTTCTTGTGGGGGCTTGTAGAAAACACATGAGTCTGCCAGCCTCTCCATGGCAAGCAAGGATGCTTCCATTTGGATTCAGCCAAACATGGCAGTGGCCTCGGGGCGCCTCTTGTTTTTCATGCAGCTGCAGCAGCCAGGGATGGTGTTGGGCAGTGGGCTGCAGCAGGTATGTGGCCATGTCAGGCTGCACGCCAGGTTTTTGTACAGGGGCCAGGGCTGACAGCTGACTTGCTGAACAGGTGTTGAGTTGTTTGTCGTACACGCACATATGTTCGTGTACGGCATTTGGCGCAGCTCACAGTATACGCACACGTTTTAGCATAGATAGAGAAATTATGCGTCTTGCGACAGCTCTCAGCATCTTGAGGTGTCGTCTCTTAAAGCATAGGTTTAGTGATTCATTTTAGTTCAAAAGATTCGTAATCTTAGGTTCGAGTCCAGCGTATTACTGAAAGTAAAAAATGTGAATTTGAATTTAAGGTTTTCTGAGATATCTGCGGCTACCCCAGAAAAGGGTGCTTACAAGTAAAATTACAGGTGAGAAAGCAGAGGTCGGTACATGTATCTGAATGGCTTTTTCGTCATGACCACCCCTTAACTTAAGAATCCCACATTTTTAAGGCTTAAGAATGAAGCAGCAAAAAGAATTTCCTGAGAATATGACTTAAGAATGAGTGCCATACTTAGCGAACCTATGGTAAGAACGGTTAAAACCGTCCAAAGAGCAGCTAAGTATGCTTTAGACAAAGAATCAATAAGTTGGCCTAAGAACGTATAAGAACACCCCAAAGAATGGAAGAGAATGCATAAGACTGCTGGGCCCGAAGAATGCTAAAGAATTTGAAAGAACGGTTTTAAGATAAACGGAGGTCATACGAACGTTCTTAGAACGTTCTTAGAACAGTGTAAGAACGTTCTAATGATTATTCAATTTTATCAATTTGGCTGGGCTAAGAACGACTTAAGAACGTTCTTAACCCCCCTCCGCATTCGTAGGGATTTACGGTGGGAAAATGAACAAAAAGAGGTTTGGTGGCGTCTCGCGGTTGATGGGGTGCCTATGTTAGGAAATTCCCATCTTAGGATGTCGCGCCCAACGATATGTGGTTGTGGAGGTTATCCAATAGGTTCAGTGGGAGGTGTATCCCCTCGCTATCATCATTTCTGGGCCTGTCCGGTGGCACAGGCAATAGCAGATCAACTTACTCTTTCAATAGGATTGCCAGTCTCAAGGGAGCAACTTTGGCTTATCCAAGCCCCACAATCAGTGCAACAATGTGTTTGGGATGTTGTGGCTCTTGCTGCGGTGTCAGCCATGGAGCATGGGAGACGTTATATGGCTGCAAACATGAAAACCAACCCGGCACTGTTACCTGGCCCTTCCCTTACGGAAGAAGCAATTTGTCGAGTTATTGTTGACTTTTGGGGCCGCATTCAGGGTTTCGCAGCTTTAGGAATTCCACGGAAAGGTTGGGATTCCGTTGGCGCACATCACCCCTTCTTGAGAATTATATCTGGCAAATTGCTATGCTCGCGAGAGCGGTTACCGATGAGAGGTTAATTATCTGAGGTGATAATCTTTTGGTATATTAGTCTCTACTGCAGTGCACGGCCAGCTGGCCCGATGGCTCTACTCTTCGGGAGTCTGGAGCCCACTGTAACAACCACACACACAGTGTTTCGAAAGCAATGAGCCACCCTCGGACTGGCTGTAGGGCTCTCATTGTTAGCCTGGCCGCAGGGCCTGCCGCTGAGATCCCTGCTGGGAACACCAAAACGTGTAACGGGCAAAATTACACGCCCAGTGCCTACCATTCGGCTCTTTGCTGGGGCCACTGCACCCCAGTGCTGCCCCTCAATGTTGAGCTTGGGCACCACACTGTGCACGTCACGACCGAACACGTGCTCGATAAGCACCTGCGGCCCGATCATAGCAGTACCAGCAGCAGTGCGGGACAAGTTGGGTGTCGGCTTCCTTGAAGCCGGAAAAAGGGCGGGCCCCCCCTGCATCCGTACAGGCCGGTAGCTAGCACGGCACGTGTGACAATTGATGGGTAGTGTCACTCAGTGTTTTTTTTTCGTTTTGAGCCTAATACCCCAGAGTAATAAACTGGGTGTTTCTTGCGGTTACAATTCCTTTTTGTATAGTCGCGNGGGGGGGNTGNGCCCCCCCCAGACCCCCCCCTGACCCCCCCCCGCAAAGGCTGTACGGTGTGCTGTAAGCAACACCTGACGTCTGGAAACATACATGCCTATCCTTGTCTTCTGTATTATCTAATTCTTCTTCTAAATGTTTGGGGCATTGCGTCTGCGGACTTTCTGAGCCCTTTGCTTTGGTCAAGAATGAACGAATGCCCCATTAACCTAAGTTGAATGCAACAGCGGGCCGCCTCATGGTGATATCAAATATTTTATATATAAATAGTGTATAAGCTCCAGATGTTCAGCTTTATCTGTGCAGAAGGCATTTGGGGCGACTTATAGCCGAAGTAATGAACCAGTACGGCCAACACTCTGGGAACCAGCTTCCCTTCGATACCCGGGAATCCCTTCATCTAGTTGTCGTTTCGTGCTCATTCGTGCCCATTTCATAACGAAGGGCTGAGGGGCCTTCAGAGCATATCGACGGAGTTCGGCTGAAATGGCCACTTAGCATGCAAAAGCCTTGTAATATCGCCATGCCAGGGATTGTTTTAATTACTTATGACTGTACAAATACTCCAAACGTAAGGTTTCGTTAAGTCTGCGCTTGTCCCAGAATGAAGGGCTGTAGGGCCCTTCAGAACATACAAATGCACACAGCATCTGTTCGCAAGTCCTGCTTTCTGTTGAAGATGTAATAATAGCTAATAAAGATGGCCCCTTCAGTTAAAACATATCCACGTTACCTCTGCCGCGGTCGACTATATGCGTTGTCGAAATTTGAAATTACGTGTGTGTCCTGCGGACGCAAGTATCATAGCACGTCTCATGCATATAATCACGTCATCACGCATCAGTGCGTCCAGCCTCATGGTGGTAATAATGGCACAGAGCTTTTTGGCCTCGATGCCGTGGCTCCTAACGAGATGATCGCTGGACGCAGTGAGAAGTTGCTGCAATACATTGACAGCTACTATGTATGGTTAAAACTTGCGACGTCCAATATGATGCAGATG